TCTTCACACAGAAAGAATTGAATATGAGACAACGAAGATGGTTAGAACTTGTGAAAGATTATGAATGTGTGATCAACTATCATCCTGGTAAAGCTAATGTGGTGGCAGACGCATTGAGTCGGAAATCAGTAGAAAGAGTGGCAGCTATGACTTTAATTCAGAAACCTGAACTCCTTGACCTACAGAGGATGAACATCGAACTTATTGAACCTAGACTAGTAACAGCAAAAATTGCAGCTTTAACACTCAGACCGACATTGCTAGATCGAATTCACACAGGGCAACAACATGACGAGTACTCTGCTAAGGTGAAGAAATATATCATTTTAGGTGAACCCTCTGATATCCAATTAACAGAGAATGACGTACTCCGATATAGGAACCGGTTATATGTCCCAGATACTGATAAAATTCGTGAAGATGTGATGGCTGAAGCACATTTGACACCTTATTCTGTACATCCAGGAGCCACTAAAATGTATAGGGACTTGAAATTGCATTATTGGTGGCCAGGTATGAAAAGGGACATTGCTCGATATGTAGAGCAATGTTTGACTTGTCAGCAGGTCAGAGCAGAACATCAAAGACCAACAGGGACTTTACAACCCTTGTTTATTCCAGAGTGGAAATGGGAGAGTATTACAATGGATTTTGTTACAGGGTTTCCGAAGACAGTCAAGGGTTATGATGCAGTCTGGGTAATTGTTGATAGATTGACTAAATCAACTCATTTTCTACCGATTTGCACTACATATTCTATGGACTGTTATGCTCAGATATATATACAAGAATTGTTAGACTTCACGGTGTACCCTTCACTATCATTTCAGACAAAGACTCCAGATTTTTATCTAATTTCTGGAGGAGTTTGCATAAAGCATTAGGGACTCAGTTATCTTTTAGCATTGCGTACCATCCACAAACAGATGGACAGTCAGAGAGAACGATACAAATTCTGGAAGATATGCTCAGAGCTTGTGTGTTAGATTTCCAAGGTCAGTGGAGCAAATTCTTGCCTTTGATTGAGTTTTCTTACAATAACAGTTATCAGTCTACTATCGCAATGACACCATATGAAGCACTGTATGGTAGAAAATGTCGATCTCCAGTACATTGGATGAAGTTGGGGAATGAAAACTTTTGAGTCCAGATTTGATTCGAGAAATGAGTGAAACTGTAGTACAAATTTGGGATAGAATGAAAACTGCTCAAAGCCGACAAAAGAGTTATACTAATAAAAGAAGAAGAAAGCTAGAGTTTGAAGTGGGTGATCAGGTATTTCTAAAAGTTTCTTCAATGAAAGGGGTAATGCGGTTCAGAAAGAAAGGAAAGCTTAGTCCAAGATACGTAGGTCCATTCTCCATTACTGAAAGAATTGGTGAAGTGGCCTACAGACTTGATTTGCCTACATCCATGTCTCAAATACACAATGTGTTTCATGTATCAGCATTAAGGAAGTACATAGCAGATCCATCACATGTTTTGAAAAGTGAACCTACAGAGCTAAAATCAGATCTGAGTTATGAAGAAGTTCCAGTAGAAATTCTCATGAGAGAAGTGAAACAACTTAGAAACAAAGAGATTTCATTAGTCAAGTACTATGGAGAAATCATAGTAGAAGAAGCTACTTGGGAAAGAAAGAATGAAATGAGATCTAACTATCCAGAACTCTTCAGGTAAGTTAAATTTCGAGGACAAAATTTTTATAAGGAAGGGAGGATGTGATACCCGAGTTTCTCACTACTCATTGACCAATATATATTTCATATTTTAGGTGCTGGTAAATTACTTATATGTTAAATTGTTTATAATTTGGTATATGCCTTACCTGTTTATTAATAAGAAAATATTATCATAATTTATTTGAGATTCTAGTATGATACAAATAGGTTGGGTAAATTATTTGGATATTAATGGTGTAAGTTAAATATAGATCACTTGAAAATTTATTTTAATAGTTAAATAAAAAGTAAAATAAATAAAATAATAATAATGAAAATAATAATGATAATAATAATAATAATAATAATAAATAAATAAATAAATAAATAAAATATTAAGGTGGTGGGGGTGGGGTAATCCCCACCCCCACCACAATCAAACCCACATCCATATCAATTGCGAAAGAAGGGAGAAAGGCAGAGGTGAGGCAACGCGAAGGAAAAAAAAAAAAATTGACGCCGAATTCGTTAAAAGCCTAGTTCAGGTATTTTTCGTGTTCACGAATTATTACTATTTTACTAAGTAAAGGAAGTTTTAAGTAGAAATAATTATTTAGTAAATGGGGTAATATATGTAATTAATTGTTATTAGATACGAGACTGGAATCATGAAAAGGGCTTTAAAAGTTAGGATTATTGACGTTTTTGGCGAACTTCAGGTAAATATAAATTTATTTGCAACTACAATGCATAAATATATTATTTTGTGAGTTATTTATGTTTGATTGATAATATGTGAATATCATAAAACTGTAATATGGGATTAATATTGTGTGATTATGTGGTTTGAGTCTGCGAGCTCCGTATATAAATTGGTTTCAGCCTGTGAGCTTTGTATATGATATGGTTGTGCCTGTGAACTCTATATTTGATGTTGAAGGAGTCCGTGAGCTCCAAAATTAATGTGATTTGAACCAGTGAATTCAATAATATTTGTATATTGTGAAATATGTTGCATTGCATTTTCATTAAGCATGCATATCATGCATTGAAATGAAATAAGATGGTTTTACTATGTTCGACCGTTGATTATACACCGAGGGCGGGAGAGGCAACCTGGGAAGAAGCGACCCGGGGAAACCTGGTGTAGGCTACCTGGTGTAGGCCACCGTCTATTGTGACTTTGTATACAATGCATAAACAATGCATTCGGAAGAGGCGACCTGAGAAGAAGTGACCCAGGGAAACCTTACGAGGAAACCCGGTGTAGGCTACCTGGTGTAGGTCACCATTTGATTTAAATATGTGGATATTGAGCTCTTTTCCGGTGTATAACAGTGTGTCTAGGGGCCCTTGAGAATATTTCATAAATAAATTGGTGATTTCAAACGAGAGCACATTCTGCATAGTGAGAATTTTGAGATAAACTTCACATCATGCATAATTTCTACTTACGGAGATTTATAAATCTCACTCAGTTTATGCATTGTAGGTAATCTTGATGATATATGACTTGGTGGACATACTGGAGTAGTCGTGGCGCTCTTACAGGTATTTTGAGTTACCGTGTACATAGATGACGATCTGCGGGCAGGACCGTGGCTTGTTTTGCTTCTGTTGTTCTATATTACGTCTGTTTTAAAAGTTGTATGGTGTTGTTATAAAGATTATGTCGATTGTGTAGTTTTTGATATGGTTTGAGATCCTTTTGGTGAATGTTAATAGGTTACTGTTGAGTTATGTTATGTTTTGCCGAGAAAAAATATATAGCAGGTTAACAGGTTGTTATATATGAAAGTAATTAAGAGGGATTATAGCATATTTACTGTTTACAAGTAGGTTGAATTTGCGTTAGTAGTATAATGTAAGTGGGATCGTGTCAAACTTAGAACATGATTTCTTTTTTTTTGTGCCTCCATCATTTTCCCATAAGTAGATTTGTCATTCCTAAGGTTCCTAAGTAAGAATTGAATTATAGTATTAGGCTCATTATCAGTGTGATTTTTCTTTCTTGTCATTGTAGGTCGAATGCCAATGAAAAGCTTGTATTGAGATTATGACAAGCAAGCTACAGTTTAAGGGAAGATAAAAATAAATAAATCACTTTACATATTTTACATAGATAAATGATTGTGAGATAAAATAATGTAGCAAATTTATCTTTTTTCAAAGACACTCCAGATAATATTTATCATTTCTTTAATGCATCTTAACTAATTTCTGTATTTTTTTTATTTTTATTTTTTGAATGGTGCAAAGAATGGAACTTTTGTGGTCTCCTTGTTGTAGTGTATACCTTTGTAACAGGATATGTAATTTTTGAGAAAAACTATTACGAGAGAAAGAAAAATTTGGGAGTCCATTTTTTGTTTGATATATTACTGCAATTGACTCGTTGATGTTGTATTGTGATTTGTTGCGGTGTAGTTTTGCTATTATCAAATTTGAAGTGACTTATTATGTTAAGATTATGGTTGAAATGATTTGCTAGTTCTATTATGGTTGATATTGTGTTTTTATTATCAAATATAAAATAGTTTATTATGGTTATATTAAGATTATAACTGAAATAATTATGGTTATTATACAAAAATTAATATAATTATGGTTATTATACAAAAATTAATGTAATAAAAACTTCACCTATAATACAATATAAAAGTTTTACTACTACTAAAAATAATCTTGATAACTAAAATTTATGAGTTTAACTTTTAATTGAATATAAAATTTCACATTTTTTACTAAGTATTTTAATTTATTAGATGTTAAAATAAAATAAATTTATTAAATATCATTAAAATTTAAATAATATTTTAAAATTATTAACAATTTTATTCATATAAAAAAAATAAATAAAATAATACTATTATTATAAATTATTATCATTAACTTGGTAAATTACAATCCTTTAAACTCACTAAACTACACTGTCTACAATCCAAATATCATTTAAAATTGGCAAAATTGCCCATAACTCCTTTGTGGTTTCAAAACTCAGAGTAAATTCCCCATCTATTTTAAAAATTGCATGGTACCCCCTTATACTTTAAAAAATATTGCATTAAACCAATTTGTAGTTTCGAAACTAAACATAAATCCCCTGCCATGCAAAACATATAGATAGTCATCTTCTTCTTATCACAAGAGGAAAGTTTAGGATGGATTTTTATGCAATATTTTGAAAGTATAAGGGGATATTGTGTAATTTTTAAAATAGAAGAGAATTTAAGCTAAACTTGGAGTTATGATTTTAAAATTTTGCCTTTAAAATTTGATTCGAATTATTTGAAAAATAAAAATATACAATATACAATAAGTAGAATTGCGCTCAGTTATCTTGGGTCATCGTCCCAAACGGAAAACCAATTTGAGGGGATTTACTGCATATATGTTGTTGGATAATATCCTCTGCCCTAAGCAAACCTGTCGATCTCTTTGATTGCTTGGATTTGGGAGTTGAGAGTGAGCAAGGATTTCTTTTATGTTGACATCCTATTGCTCCATTCTCAGCTTAGGTAAGAATTGTTGTCTTCCAGGGTCAAGGGAAATGGCGTGCCGAAGCGTTCTGAAGACGGTCTTCGTCCATCGGATACTTTTGCCTAAAAATACTTCCAATCTCTCAACTACGACGCCGATTTTGCGCAATAAACTTTCGGTAAATCACAAGACTTACCGTTTCGTAAGCAATTGCTCAAATGCTGGAAGCCTACCTTCATCCAGCGATGATTCCGAGCAAGACCCGCCGCAGGAAGCCGTTCTGAAGGCAATTTCAGGTATTTTGCAGAATCTTAATCTACAGCCGGCGCTGTTAAGTTTTTGAATCATATGTGCGTCTTCCACTGCAGCGATGCTTGATTGATAATGTTAACGATGCGTCGTATGGTTTATTCAATCTTTGTTCTTTGTATCTTAGCATGTAGGATAAGGTTGCGTATGATGAGAGTGATCCATTTGCTTATGAATTATAGCTTTGTTTGGTACAAGAGAATCTATGTGTGGGAAATGAAACGTCAAATGCATCGAAGTATTATAATTTGTTGTCGTGACTTTCAATTTAGTTTCAAATCCATTTGGTGTTTGTTGAGAATGTGTTAGGAATGTCTGCCGGAAAATTATAAGGTTTTTAACAATGTTATTTGTGTAGTAAGCGTTTTCGAATGCCATCTTACTATAAAAATTGGACACGTTCATTCTATAGTCATTTGATGTGGACCTCCTAAAAGGATCTACTAAATTCATGGAGTTGTTCAAAGAATCAAAACGAATGTAATCTGACAAGCAATAGTCTGATCTAACTGAGTTTTTGTCGGGGAATCCAGAAGTTTCCAAGACTGAGGGAAGGGTGGGACAAAGTACTAATGTCATCATCGGAGGCACAGTGACTGATGATTCGACGAAAGAGTGGCGTGCTCTAGACCAGAAGGTATGTCCTCTGAAACATGTGATGCAAAAGCAAAGACTATCTTGTCTCGATTACGAAGATATTTTGTTGCACTAAACTTAGGATATACGGTGGAATGGGTACCATTAGGTTCTATAAACTAGTTTCATCTTGCTCTAATAAGATATGCTCGAGAATTAATCTTTGATACACTTTCAGGTGAACACTTATCCAACTGTTCGAGGATTTACAGCAATAGGAACTGGAGGTGATGACTTTGTGCATGCCATGGTTGTAGCTGTTGAATCAGTACTTCAAAAGACAATCCCGGAAGTAAGCACATCTATTTTCAATTTTTTTTTGTGTGTGTAGCATGCATTTAGAAGAACTAAGCAAGATTAGGATCTAAGGTGTGGCTTTTCATGGCTTTTTTCAGTTAGATTGAATTGTTTGGTTTTTACATCTACAGACTGAGTTCCTTTTACTTCAGCCCCGGTTAGATATGTTTTTTGGAAGTTTTGCAGTTTTGGAAATTTTGGAGAATAGCAAAATGTTGAGGATTTGATATAATGTTTTGTGAGAGGAAATATGTTCTTGATGTGACGTTTTTTTAAAAATGGTTCTATAGATAAATAGTACCAAAAGTGATATTTTGGTATATATTAAATTTTGTCAACTATTATTTTATTGAAGTGCACTAGATGTTTTTGTATCGAGATGAAGTGTAAAACGCTATTTCATCTTGTCAAGTGACAGTTTGAGAATTTGGGACAAATAAACATAATGCAGTTGCTGCTGTTGAGGCTAATCTATGGAACGTTATGTCTATGAAGACATTTCTTACTATGCTTTCCTGAGGAGCTCCTTATAGCTCTTAAGATCCAAACAACAATTTTCAGTTTATTAAACCCACCATGAATGATACAAAAAAATTCCTCAAATGCTGCCAGGTGTTCATTCAATCTTCTTTCCCTTTTCATTTTTTTCTATACATTTTAGTCTTTATGTTGGATTCTTTTTTGAATAGAGAAAAGAAAGAAAACAACGTAAAAACACTAAAATTTTTCATGGGTCCGTCAGTCTAGTCTCCAGTTTTGTAATTCAAGTTAATCGATGTAAATGACATAATGAAGTTATTGTTTTGCTACAGGATCAAGTGAAACAAAAATCATCCTCAGGTGGCAAATATGTTTCTGTTAACATTGGACCAGTTCAAGTTGTGTCCTTTGAACAGGTCCTCCTCCTCTCTCTCTCTCTCTCTCTCTGAGCCTAATGAACTTCCGCAAGGCTTACCAAACCTACTAATCTAGGAAGTAGATAATAGATTATTATGACAAATTTTGTTTCCTAACAATTTCACTGATCATGTTTTTCCAGGTCCAAGCGGTGTACAGTGCCATGAGAAGAGATGACAGGATGAAATACTTTTTATAAATCTAGTCCAACGGCTAAGCATCTAGATTGTCATGCCATGCTTACCCTTGTTTTATCTCTGGTTTATCCATGGAACCATCAACGATCTATTATCTGCAAGTCATTCTAGATTTAGGCTAGCTCTAGAATTCTTGCTTGTGCAGCAGCCATGTCAATATCCAACCTCTAAACTACATTATGCATTACATTTAGTATTTATATAGATTCAATTTTATACGTCTATAACTCTCCCTAACGAATCTCATCTGACTTTCTCGATTCTGTAGAACTTCATTGAATTGTATTGAGATTTTTCACCTCTAACTGTGTTGATGCTTTTTAGTTTGTCTAAGATTGTATTTGATACTTGGTTGTTTGAATATGACTCCTCTCTGTTGGCCTGTATTCACATGGAGTAAGTCATGTCGTGAGAGTTCCTTTCTACCTGGTGTTGTTCATCTCTTGTCATAAAGTTGTATTTTATTTTTTTTTTCATTTTGTTTTAATTTTTTTATTGTTTTGGATATTGAATAATTGAAGTTTGACAAAAGTTTACGATACCAAGCAACTTCTTCTTGTTCTTTACACATCAACCATTTTCTTCTTTCGAAAGTGATATTTGGGTAACCCCTATGTGCCTTTTTTCTTGCAATTCCAAGATGCCGTGATAGCAAAAATCCAAGGTATGTGAAGAAATAATAGGCAACGTTATTGTAGATTGTCTACATCTCTAACTAACCATCTTGACTGCCTCCATTTATTGTCCAATTGCTTGACCCTTCTGCCCCACACCTTTCACCATCTCCATACTTCCTCAATTCAACAGATTTTGAAAGTTTGATTAATTACTCTTCTTGCAGGAACGAAAAGGAAAAACTTTCCCTTGTTATCGGCATTCCTTCGAGTTCATATAGCACCATCTTCACACTGGTATGCGTAATTTTATACCTATTTTCCTTTATTATGAATAATGATTAGATGTAGTTTTGAGAACATTATCTATGGAATGATCGTAATTTTTTGTGAATATGTGTGTAAGAGTCTAAAAGTTGCACTTTTAAACAATTTATAATGATCGTTATTATATATATATAAAAAAAAAAGTATTATCTTTTTCATAAGCTAGAGTCGAATGCATAGGTATGTCCAACATTTATTAATCCCAATGGTTCTTAATAGCTCAAATTGTCACTGTCACTCTTTATATTAGTCATTGTTTAAGATTTTAGCAGGTAACCTCTCACTGTTGTGTAAACCATATTTTAATAAATATAGTTGAAGACCATAAATAAGCTTGTTATAAAAAAAAGATTGTTAATATAATAATCGTACATATATGTATATATATTTAGAAACCCTGACATCAGAGAACAATCGACTAAACTTGGACCAATAATGATTTTTATATAGCGATAATTGCAAAACATGAGAAAACAAAATGTCTGTTATGAAGGAATATTGTACGAATCGATTATGATCAGTTCACTGTTTATTGAATTGAGATTTTAGGCTTAACTGGTGATATATACATTTCCTTGTGCTTATTTAACCTGGGAAAAAAAAAAAAAAAGAAAAAAGAAAGAGGAAGTAGTTAATAAAATAGTCACTTCATTAGACTATAGAATTTAGAAGTTGTTTGTATAATTCTTTGATTCAAGAGGAACTTTTTTGCCTTTTTGATGTTCTTATAATTGTTGAAATGAGTTGGCTTATGCTATAGTCATAGATCAATAATTTGATGAGTCTAAAAGTTATTAGCCATATTATTCTAATATATTATTAAACACTAACCTCTGGTTTTCATTTGCTGTGCCTGTCAATATCTGCCTTATGCTATTTGTCGATGGCATGGCGGCTGGTTTAATTACTTAATTAATGGTGTCTCACTTGGAAATAAAGAGATTTAAATATATTCATAGTAGGTTTGAATCCCGCAAGATCTGTTCATTTCGCTCTTCTTTTTCTTCTCTAGTTTCTTGTAATCGAGACGAGGCTTCCATCATGCTGCACAACATTGAAGGACAAGCAAGCCCAGATCAAGAATCGAAGGTATGATCGAATGCATATATATATGTCTGTATGTATGTATAATCCCAAAATTTTGAAGATCCTCTTGTTAAGACTGTGTTTTGGTTATGTTAGAATTCTGTAGAGTACTGTGATGTAGGAGAAGACTTGGCGTCCTCAACTTGTTCGTGTATGTCGATACCGAGTTTGCCTGCAAGCCCAAACAGCAGTCGACCTACGAGTATGGTCATCAAGGTGCGTTATCCTCTTTTTCGTATGTATAATAATATCCTTGTCCTTTGTTTCGATGATGAACTTTTGTCTGGAAGCAGAAGGTGAACACGGTGATTCCCGCGCACCTGGTGGCTGCAGCCATGTCGACCCTCCATGGGCTCGACCTCAGGTGGTCGGGCCCGATCACTCCAACCGAAATGGAATACGTCGAGCAGTATGTCTTCGCCCGGTACCCCGAGTACTCCCACGGCCTCGTCGACAACGACAACAGCGAACGTGGCGACGATGACGTCTCCTCGTCGAACAACCGGAAGAACTCCCCAAAATACGCCCGAGACAATTTGTCGACGCCGCCCTCCTACGCATCCCACATGTCGAAAATCCACCTCGACCCCTCGAAACTCCTCGACATCCTTGACAAGAAAGCGTTGTCGACGTTCATCTCCATCCCGGAAATCCAGGCCCGCAACCGCGCCCTCCAGGGCTGCGGTCTTGCGGAGAACGACTACTGCGTCGTATTCTCCCCGACCGTGCGGGAAGCCATGGTCTTGGTCGGCGAGTCGTACCCGTTTTTCCGAGGGAACTACTACTTGACCGCCCTGCGGGACGACGATGCGATCAGGGAATTTGCGACAGGGAAGGAGTCGAAGGTGGTGGGGGCTCCGGAGGCGTGGCTGGATCTGAGGATCAAAGGGTCGCAGCTGAGCCAGTACTTTCGGCGGAAATGCAAACACGTCCCGAAGGGGCTGTTTGCGTACCCGGCATGTGCCAACGGGGCTCGGTCGACCATGCACTGGATATCGGAGGCTCATCGCAACTCTTGGCATGTGCTGCTCGACGCCACGGAATTGGACGTCGGGAAGGATGAGCGGATGGCGCTGGCGCTCCACCGCCCTGATTTCGTGGTGTGCGTCGATGTGGAGCGGAGGATTGTGTGTTTGTTGGTGAGGAAGGATTCTTTTGAGACACTTGTGTAACTTTATTATTTGTTTTTGAGTTCCAACATCCATGCAAATTTCAGGCCTAATATTATGGGGTTTGTTTATTTATATTTTATCATTTTTTTTATATTGTATTTAACATTAAATTTAATTTCAAAACATCAAAATTTAATAGTTAAATAAAAATAAACGATTCCAAAATGAACAATTAATTACATAAAATATTATTAAGTGTAGATTTTATACTACTAGTTATATAGTATTAATATATGCATTATCATCTGATAGAAAATTATCTATTTGGACATTTTTATTAAACATGGATCATACAATACAACACAATTTTATGATATTTTAAAATTTACAGGATTATAATAGAGTATTTGTGGTGTGAAAGTTAAAGTTAGATTAAAAAACAAAGAAACACAATCGTAATGATATGCCTCCTCTTACCAACACAATTTACTTTAATGTACCTCTAATAAGTCTAATTACTATAAATTATTAAAAGGAATATCTATATATATATATATTTTATAATATTGCAATTAAATACTTCCTACTTCGGGTAAAACTATGTTTATTTTATTATTTTAATATGTCTATTTAAAATGTGTTTCTATCATATTTAGTAAAGAAAATACAATTCTTAATTAAATTTATATTTATTATCCTTTTATTTATTTACACAAATATTGTTGATGAAGAACACATATTTTTTACATTCATTATACTTTTCTTCAAAATTATATTACTAACTGTATAAAAATTCAATTCTAGCCTTATAAAAAAGTTATGAACGTAATTATTTTTCTTAATATCCAACATTATTGAATATAATATTAATTTTTTTAAAAAATAGATTAACTTATTAACTAGATGCAAGATTTAAGAGTTTGTATACTGATTACTATTATTATTGGTTATTATTTATGTATTTATTTGTAGTTTTAAAATTGCTAGAATAAATAGCTTTGTTTATATATATATATATATATTATCAATAATAACATTTTACAAAAAAATAATAATAAATAAAAAAAAGAATATCGAATAATTATTTTATTTCACAAGCTATAAAATTAAATATTTAATTTTCTACTCACAAAATTTTTTAATACTCTAAAACTCCAAAAATCCCTCTATATCTAAACAAAGCCTATAATTGTTGGATTTGAATAACTAATTTATGTTTGATGTAATATCTTATCAATAAAGAATATATAAATGTAAACACAAATATAAATAAGCGAAGGGTGTGTATTTTTAATATTTTTGTTCTTTTACCAAGATTTTTCAATATATTTTTTCAAAAAAAATTAATATACTACAAACACTTATTGAACAAAAAAATGTATAATGGATAATATTAGAAGGATGACCATAACACTTATGTGAGTTCGAGTTTGGAAAAAAAATTGGTTTCAGATTAATATAAAAATAATGTTTGATGGGATGTTTCTGTTTTTCTTCTGAAAACACAAAGTTCAAATAGTAAAATTTATGAAAATTCGGCTAAAAAACATACATCATTGGAAGTTTTTTCTGTTTTTTAATATATTTTTTTTTCCTCTACGAATGTGTAAGAAAATAGATGAACATTGGAAGATTATTGAGTTTGTAATATAATTCAAATAAATTATTTTAGTGTTTAATTTCAAAAAAAAATAGATATATTATTATTTTTTAAAAAATATTATTATAGCAAAATCATACAAATTCATTATCGGTGAATCGCTCCATTAAATTCAGATAAGGTATAGGTAATATTGTAAGGGATGGGTCGATCATTAAACCCTAACAAGTAAATGTAACTGTTATGTTAGGCTCTGATATGTAAATGATATATACATATATGAGTAGTTGTACAGATGACTACTTATTTTCACTAAAGTGTAACATTTGATATTTTCAACGGTTATAGGAAGCGGTAATGTTGTAGGCAAGTATGATTACTTTTGTCAATTAACCCCCGCATTCTTAGTTATACCGAAGATATTGAGTGCGGTTCAAAGTTGTGTTTTCCATTTCCTTTTGGTATTTTGTAGTGATTTACTTGTACAAAATATATTGATATGAATATCGTTTGTTAGATTGTAACATTTTTTTAATACAATAAGTTAGTTACAATATTCTAATGCTATGATACATAAAGAAATGCATTTGAAACTATACAATATTCTAATGCTATGATACATAAAGAAATGCATTTGAAACTAATGCAACGGCTTTTGAATTTGTTGGACACGAAAAACAAATTTTTTTTTAATCCGACTGGACTGTTATCTTGCAAAAAAGAAAGACATCCGAATTGGGCTTGAAGGCAGTCTTAGAGTGGTAACTGATCAATTTAGTCAACCACTTCATTTTTGTTTTAAAATATCTATATTTATATTAATTATTTGTTTAAATTTATATATTCATATTCATATAATGAAATTTTAAAATTTTAATTAGAAATTTGAAATATATCAATATATATCATTTTGTAGACAATATTTTTTTTTTAATTATACAGAAAAAATAAACTATAAAAAATATAATATAACAAAATATTTTGAAAAAAAATAATTTAAAATTGGTTGGTTGCACTGTTATACAAAAATTTATTTATATAATTTATTCTATTTTTTTCTCTCCCCTTTCCATCAGACTAATTCGGTTAGCGATTTTCTTTTTGTTTCAAAAAATATCTATATTCATATTCTTTATTTATTTAAATTTATATATTCATATTCATATAATATAATTTTTAAAATTTAATTAGAAATTAGAAATACATAAATATATATCATTTTGTGGAGAATAATTTTTTAATAATACATCAAAAAATTAAGTAAAGAAAAGTATAATATAAAAAAATATTTTGAAAAAAAAATAATATATATATATTTTTTATATATTGGTTGGTTGCACCGTTATAAAAAATATATAGGTAAAATAAATTTCCATCCAAGATTTAATAGATAGCGACGAAATGGAGTTTTATCGCAAAAACATGTTTTTTTTTTCCAATTCATTACCTTTTGTTACGGAATTTTTTGTAGCTAAATTTCAACATTTTTGTAGTGACGTTTGCCGCCTCCGCTATTGATTCCTCTGTCGTGTCAGGTAAGGGGAGGGGGGAGGTAGGGCTGGTTGACGATGAACAAATTTAGTTGCTGTGTTTTGAGTACTGCGAACTTTTTTGATGGTGATCATGCATAAATGTTCATTTGTGATTTGTCTCTTTTAGAAAAAAATATTTGCGCAGTTAATTCATAAAAACCTTGTTGTTGGTCTTCGGATACATACGATGTATATTCAGGACACATATTTTGTTTAACCCAGAATAGACTGATGATACTAAACCTTATTATGCACACTTTTAGTTCATGTTATGATTCCTTTTAGTGATTTACATATTGCATAGTTATGATATACTGATCAAGTTTAAATGATGGACTATGTTAAATACATTTTATACCATTATGTTATAAGTATGATATATAACTTCAATAGACATGATATATACATGATATATATGGTATGTAAGTTGCATATATGGATGTCGCACATATAATTATGATATATTTCATTTTATTATTCCTATTATGATATATATATTGCATAGTTATGATGTATTGGTCAGGTTTAAATGATGGTTTATGTTATATATATTTTACACCATTATGTTTGTATGTATGATGGAGTAGCAAAATCCTCTAAACATTTCGTTTATTATTGGGGTCAAATTTTCTATCATTTTTTAACCCCTTTATTGCAACAATAGTGAATGTATTGTACATTATGATAATCACTTTTTGCCTTTTTTTGCATTTGTTTCGCACGACAAATTTTCGTCTATATGTGCATCTACAATATGACCTATACGCATCGTCGGAGTTTGAAAAAGATGCATCGGTCCAATAGTCATCACCTGAAGAATCAAATAATATACACCGTTATAAATATGATATTTATTGTAATGTAATATGGTTTACGGAATATAGTATTATGATGTTACTTCAGCGCAAATATTGGTTTACGGAATATAGTATTATGATGTTACTCCAGCGCAAATATTGAGTAACTAAATTATTTTGCCTTTTTTTTACGCAGTATATGACCGGATAAATATTTTATATATTTTTTCGGCATTAAAATAATGAAAAAAATAATGAATATAATTTAGTTTGGAGGCAGTTTCAACTCTCCATAATTTTAGAAAGTTTGCCCTAATTTAAAGGGAAAATTAGTGTAATTCAACGCTTTTTAAATTTGGATAAGGTATGATGCTCCTTATCATACCAATTTGAAATATGATTTCACTGAGCAATCGATTAAATTTTGTTACAAAATTTATCATTTTTAAGTGAATACTTACATAATTTTTACAAAACATAATAAGATTTAAAATCATCCTGATAAAATAATGCAAACTACAACTATTGGGTTTAAAAATTCGGATAAATTTAATGTATCTCATTGTACTATTGAAAGCCTCCAATTTAGCCACTGTTTCGGCCATTAATTCAATAATTTTAGTGCAATTATTGATATGCTAAAGGAGTAATATGATTATCATGTATATATCTTTAACATATGATTATTCCAAGTAGCCAATTTGGTATTACTTGCTTGCATCCCTGTAAATTATGACATCAATCCTTTTTTTTTTCTTATTTTCAATCCTCAACTAAGTGTATATTTCATATTATAGTAAAGTCAGAAACTATGAGTATTTTGCAAAAATAAAAGTATAACTTGTAATATAAGTTGTTTCTTGCGGCATTCAATTAAAAAATTTTCATGTTGCATACCTTTTTTTTTTTTTTTTTTTTTTGGTCTTTTTACTTTAATTTGAAGTTTACAGTTTGTTCACTGTAAAGAGAGGTCAACATGATTTGTTATACTTTCCTTCTGGATCGTATGTTACTGATAAATAATCAAAGTTACCAACATCTAGATTTTTTGCACATTTTTAAGTCCAATGTCAAATTTCTGAATGTTCTCCATGCTATTGATGTATTGATCCATATGCAATTAAAATTTATTATCTACCAAAGCTATAGCAAGTGAAGAATGGAAAATCTGATGGATTGCACCTTTACGCATTT